CTGCTTTGCTGCACCTGGGTCCAAGTTTCAACAACTGACCTCCTTTCCTGGACAAACCTTCTCCAACAGCAGGAGCAATGTATGACCGTGACAACTGGAGCTCACTCTCTGGTCCCCCTTTTTGAAAATGGGAATCACCATCCTGGTTTGCCAGTCCACGGACGCTGTGTCAGACCTCCACGTGTCATTAAAGACGTATGTCAACCAAGGCAGTGTCCAGAGCCTTTAGCATCTCAGGGTGACCTTCATCTAAACCTGTCGTCTTGCCAACAGGGAGCTCTCTTTACCCAAGTGTCCAAAGCATACAGCCTCAGATCAGATGTTGCAGTCTGTCATCCTGTGTGTAGGACAGAAGTCCAAGAGCATCCCCTCAGCACCTAACACCATTGGATACTCCAGAAAAGGACAAATCCAGAGTCCCATCTGCCAGACTTTTGTTCCAAAACCCTTGGTACCTGTGGAGGCGAGACAAACTATATCTAGTCAGTAGTGCTCCAGCTCACATCCCAAAAACCATTCTGCGATGCTGGGGGTCCACATGCCCAGCCTCCCACCTTATCCTACCACCCACGTCACACTGCACCTGATCATAATTGATATCCAGAGGGACAACAGAACAGTAGTGGATTTCTTTGTGAAGTGGCCTGAGAGAAATCATCTGAATGTGAATAAAACCAGAGGAACTGTGAGGGAACCTCAGAGGGAAGAGGACACGTACACTGTGTCTGTGTTGAGACATAATATTAATGTGGAGGAGTAAAAGTACCTAGACATCCACATTGACTGAGGCAGGAAGTAACAAAGTACAAATACTTCTCAGGTATTTTCAGGTACCTTACTGGAAATACTTACTAGTTACTTTTTGACAGCCTTTCACTGTTACTCCCTGCATTTTAACACAAATATTTGTACTTTCTACTCTTTACATTTTCAAACCAGGCTAGTTACTTTAGGCTCAGCGGTATCGTCTGGTGTTTATACTCAGTGGTTAAAGTGGACGGAACAAGTGCAGCTATGTTGGAGGCAGCTTGTAGCTAGCGCTACAGAAGAGGAATGAGTCCAGGGTGTAACGTTTGTTATGTTTGACATTTCTATCTATCAGCTCAACAAACATCAGCAAACACACAAACTGTTCATGTGCAGTTTGTCAAAGTGTGTTGCTAAAGGTTCAGATGTTGGATTTCCAGGGAGGGAAACGAAAGGGAGCAAATTTCATTCATAGATGGAGAAAAATGTAAGAAAAGACATGAGAGGAACAAGAAGGCTTATATCAAAGGTAATGACTGCTCGTGACACTTGATAAACTGCAGATTTAAAGATGACATGTCATAGTTTTTAATCTTTTTAATCTTAAGTAATCTTCAATAAAGATGTTGAATCACGTCTGTGTATTTCTCCTTAGGTACTTTTGCCACCTCTGCACTCTGAGGCCAGGCTGAACTGGAAGTCTAACTTTCCCAAAGACACTGAAATCCTTTAACATGCGCAGCAGATACTGGAGAAGTTTTTCTATCAGCTCGTTGTGGAGCGTCTGCTGGGGGAGCTGCTGACAACAACAGACTGAACAAACTGACAGAAAAGGGAGCTCTGTGGTTTACAGGTCACTGAACAAGTGGTTTCCCCTCATGGATGTTATTATATTATTAATACAATTATTATTATGAAATAATAATAAATTGCAGTGATCACAGTTCTGTGTTAGGTTTAGGCAAAATGACGTTGTCACATCAGGCCAGGGAGGTTTGCACAGATTTTTTTCCATAACAGATAAAATCATCATCAAACTACATTTTGTATTTTTGTATTTCCTCTTTATAATATTACACTTTGATCAGTATTCATGTGTGACAAATAATCAGGCCCTGTATCTGCAACATCAACTGTAGCTTGATGGCTGTCGTTTTACTTTTCAGAGGTGAATAAAACCACAGTTACTAACACAGAACAGCTGAAATTGGTTTTGTTGGCTTCAAAGTTCAGTGAATCACAAGGTCTCTTTTTCCTGTTGCACCCTTTTTTCTGCTGACCACAGCAGGTGTCCTGCACGACACACACACACACACACACACACACACACACACACACAAATCCTCTCTTACACGTACAGATTTTTAGTCTTCATACTTAAGACATACTTCACTAAGAGAGAATGGCTAGTGACAGGATCTATGCTGCTTTACCTGAGCCGCCTCGTCAAAGCGAAGCAGAAAGCAGAGAAGAAGAAAAGAAGGCTTTTGGGAATATTTTTGCAGAGTTGGAATCTGTGGACTTACCTCTTGGAACCACCTTAAGGTAAACTCCAAAACACACCCGAGATTTATCTGCTGAACACAACTGAAGGTGGACTGATTTAGCTAAATTACAACATTTAAAACGCTGATTTATCCTAATACCAAGACCAGGAAAACACGCACTTAGAAGCCAGCAGACACATGCAAACTGTGTTTGCTTTGATTAAACTGTGAGTTCAATTACAGACATTTAATGTGAAAAAAGGTTAGTATTATTAGCGTCAGTGTGTATCATTTGTCAGGCTTTACCAGAATTGTATCTTGATTTAACAAAACAAAAACAAACAAACAAATAAAAAACTTGCACACCATAAAGATGTAAATAACCTCCTCTGCATGTTGGTATTTAAAATGTATCTACAGCAGAACTGAGATGAATCAAATAGAAGCCACTAAAGCTCATTTGATAGCAGGCATCTTTATTATTACAAGTACCGTTTGAATGACAGTACACATTATTTTCCTGTTTTTACTGCTAACCATGCAAACCACTCGTTATACAGTATTTATGATAAGATCACAAACAGTCAAAACCCGTGTGGTTTTCCATGTGGTACAATGTTTGAGGAACCAGGCACAGGCTATGCGGAAACAAAGCCGCAATCACCGGGGTCAAGACGACCGTAGTGCGCCTCCCACAGGCCGGACCTCACACTGACCTATGCTCCGCTGTAGCTGCAGTGATAGCCGTAATATGCACATAACAATCATGGCGGACAGTGAAACCCTGGAGTGCATAACGGAGCACGAGCGGATTTTACAGGAAATTGAAAGCACCGACACAGCTTGTGTCGGTCCGACTCTTCGGTAAGAATATATAGCTTCTAAAAACGCCCTTAGCAACACAGGTCCTGTGTTTTTCACTGTGTATTACATGATCACACCTTTTGTTTAAGACCTAGCTTAGCCTTACCCAGTAGCAGGCTAGCGCTGGCTATTTTAGCCAACAGTCTAGATAGTGTTGAAATGAGGAATGGGGCTAGCTGTCGTGTTAGCAGCAGTGACTGTGAGGTAATTTTTTAGGTTATGTGTAAGGATGGATGACTAGTGACCTGTCAAAAATGTCAACATCATTTGTGGGTGTGGCTGTGGGACTTCACATCCTTACGTCGTTGTGCAGCTTGAGTTAGCTAACGGCTAACAGGTAACGATTTTGGATAGTTGTTGGCTAAAATAAAACGAATGCCACGAGCGGATAAGAACACCGACCCTGTGGTGTTGTGTTATGTGGGCGACAGAATTGGTAGTGACACAGGATGCCGGTCTGCTCAGCCTGACGTGCCCTAACACACCGCACTGCTTATTTTAGGCAATTAGATGCCAAAGTAGCTTCCGAGGCCACAGTGAATAACATTAGTTGAACGCTTCCACCTGTCACACCTGTCCCGTAGACGTGCCTGTAGGCCGTGGCTGTTTCTCATACCCGGGGAAAGTGATGAGTGTGTACCCTCCAGGTAACAATGCTATCTAGCCTTCTCAGCGCGTCTTCATCTCTTATTCTACGGTGACGCTGTCTTTTCTTCATCTCTTGGCAGCTTGGTCGGGTGTAAAATGACAGTGACGTGCTGTCAGTGATCATAGGGGTTTGCTTTGCTTGCTGTAGAGCTTACTAATAATAAGAATACTAATTGAAAGGGTCGGGCTAAAAACGGGATTTTCTTATAGCTAATATTAGTGAATATTTCCTGGATAATAACAGGTGCTGTTCTTTTCCAAATGCAGCTCTAGTGCAGTGCATAGGCCTTTCCTGGGTGTGGACTATTATATGGCTCAGTGGACAGAGTCATAAACACTGGGTGTTGTGTGGTGGACTGACTTATCTTTTCATGATGGTAACAGCGAGTCAGTTACTCCAGTATCAACATTACCACTTGGCACTCATGTTCAGTCTTATAAATCACCATTGGAGCTGTGCCAGCCTGAAAGCATCATCCTTGTAGTTCCAGTCAGTACAACAGTCGTTAAGGATAAACCAGAGGACTTAGGCAAAGACATGTCCTCACTATGTCTTTTTTTGTAGACTGTAATCTGACCTTGCTGAGGAATGCAGGTTATGTTGGCATATTTGTTTCAATGAAACATTTGTACCTGTTTCCTTCAGCATCTTCACAAGCTCTTCTTCTTTTGTTCTAGCATAGATTCACTTGTTTTGAAGTGCATTTGCTCCTAGGAGGGAGGGCACGTCTCCTTTCAGAGCAGTATGGGTCTAGTGTTGGGCATCATGTCCATAATTTAATTATTCTGTTGTCCTGCTTGAGATTGCAAATATCCAAGACCATTTTTGTGAAGCAGGGGGGCAAACATGCTAACCATTAAGGCAGCACTGGCCACCCTCCATAATACATACTGTGCAAGTGAAATACAAAGAATACAAAATAGACACTGGGGAGGTAATGTCCCACTTTCAGAAACACAGGAGCGAAGATGGACTGTACAAATCTGTCAGTTTAAACAAGCAACGATAAATACATTTGCTGAATTTAACCAAAAACACAGATAAATTCAGTTATCATATTTGTTTGGTTCTTACGACTTTTAATAATTTTACTAACATGTTTAGTCTAGTTTGTGTAAAATGGCTTGACTCTGCATTCTTAGTAATGGAAACTGGAAACACTAAATTGCCCATAGGTGTGGATGTGGGAGTGAATGTGAGTGCGATTGGTTGTCTGTGTGTTGGCCCTGCGACAGACTGGCGACCTGTCCAGGAAGTACCCTGCCTCTCACCCCAAGACAGCTGGGAAAGGCTCCAGCGCCCCCCGCGACCCTGAAAAGGAGAAGTGGAAGGAAATGGATGAACGTTGAGAGAATAAACTGTCATCTCTGCAAATCATACTTTAATTAAACTTGAAATTAAAATCTAGCCAACGTCCAAAAATGCCTGCCATCCATTTTCTTTTTTTTCTTTT